GTCCCTTGTGGGGCTGACGCCACCCCCCTCAGGACAAGGAACCCCCCAGCTCCTGGAGGGAGCTACGGCGCCGGGACCCCCGACCCGGGCGCAGCGCTCAGCCCTGCCGGGGACTCGGCAAGGGCCCCCAGCCGTGCGCCCTGCGCCTGCCTACTCCTGGTCTAGCCACGTGGACGGGTCTAAAATCAAACACGGGCCTGTGCAAGCCCCCCCCTGCTGCACGCAACAAGGACACTCAGGGTGCGTCTGCACAGCGCCCTGACCGCGAAATAAGCTCCCCAAATTGTGTGGCTGATTTGGAGGTTATTTCGAAATAGCCTGTGGCCAGAACGAGCACCGCGGAGGCCGTATCTCTAATCGAGGCACATGGCGCTCGGGTCTAAAATCAAACACGGGCCTGTGCAAGCCCCCCCCTGCTGCACGCAACAAGGACACTCAGGGTGCGTCTGCACAGCGCCCTGACCGCGAAATAAGCTCCCCAAATTGTGTGGCTGATTTGGAGGTTATTTCGAAATAGCCTGTGGCCAGAACGAGCACCGCGGAGGCCGTATCTCTAATCGAGGCACATGGCGCTGGCCGGCAGGTCTAACGGACCTGGGGTGCGTAAGCAGTAGGACACCGTGCACGGCCTTCGCGCCGACATCTCGGTGGCTGCCTAGTCCTGGGGCCCAGGCTTCCGAAAGAACGTGGACACGTTGCAGAGGTGTCAGGCGAGAGCGAGAAGGAGGATCCGAGGTCAGGAGAGCCACCTCCCAATGGGAGATTAGAGACACGCAGTCTGTGCGGCTTAGCCGAGAGAAGGTGAAGAGGGCAAGGTCTAGAACACCCTACTTGGGAAAGAGATTACTAAGTCGGGCAGCTTTAGGGTCTAGCAGACAAAGGCTCCGAGCAATCCAACGGCTGGAAGCCAAGGCTGAACAAACGAAAAGAAGAAACAAGGCACAGATTTTGTTTACTGTGCGGGTAATTAACCATTGGCACATTCTGTAGCCATGGAGCTAAAATGGAGCTTTATGCAAAGTCCTGGGCCTCGGTGTACTTTGCCAACCACCCTCTCGAATGCAGAAAGGACCTTGACCTTACCGTTGGTAAAGGTGCACCGGCCAGAGCACTGTGTCCAGAGCTGGTTCCACCGCAGGAATAGAACCTGATGGACACGGTTCTGTTTTAGGCTTACAACAAACACCCTTCTTCAAATTGCAATGTGACGTCCTTGTTTGAATGTGCACACTGCTTCTCTACCAGAAACGCTGCTTCTCTGAACAACAATCAACCCTCTTTTCTAAAACTGAACAATGTGCACGTTAACAATGCACAGAAAAGCCAAATGCTCTGGAAAAAGCCAAACACAAATGGAAAAGCGCCAAAAATTGCTCCAGATCCCCTTCAAAATACAAGCAGCGAGCAAATCAACAGCTTGGAAAAAAACAAGCCCCTATCAATTAAAACAAAATATTTATAATCAAAACCAGCTAAAACAAAAAACCTCCCAAACCAACTACAAAAAACCAACTACAAATAACAAACACCCGTCAAAAAGCCCCAACAATTGAACAATGCAAAACCCACTAATCCCAATTCAAAAAAACAATGATAACAAAACCGTTCTGCTTGAAAAGGAAATCCGTCCTGCCATAACTAAAGCACTGATCCAAACCGATACAACCCTGCTCCTCCCATAATCAATCCACAAGCCACATAAAATAATAAAAGAACGTGTACACGGGGTGTGTCTGTCTATAACCCTTGTATGAGCATCTGCTAACCGCCGTGCCACTGCTTGGCCTTTTCTTCCGATACAAACCCTTTGTGCTTCTTATAAGCTAACAGCTTTACCACCTCTGACACCAGGGGTGGGCAATAATTTTTGCAGGGGGGCCAATCAATGAATGTGGTTTGCGGGCTGGCTCCACCCTCTGGAAGGGGCGGGGCCTGGGGTGCAAGGGGCGGGGCTGGGGACTAGCCTCCCCCCCGAGTTGTCCGGGGCCGGAGGCTTTGAATTCAACACACAGCAAAGGGCTTGTGGCTCCCGGCCGTGCCGCTATCGCGTTGCCTGGCAGCCGCCTCAGGTTGCTGCGGCTATTTAAAGGGCTCGCGGCTCCGGCCCCTTCCAGGGTAGCGCCGCGACTGGGAGCAGTGAGCCAGATCCAGCCGTCTGAGCCACCGCTGGGAAATTCGGTGGCCGGGGCAGCCGGATCTAAATGGAAGGCGGCCATATGCCATCTGTGGGCCGGATCAAAGTGTTAGGCGGGCCGGATCCGGCCTCTGGGCCGCGTCTTGCCCAGCCCTGGCCTAAGGCCTTCGCCTGCAGCCAGATTGAAAGAGCGGCCACCACTAGCTGAGAGGCAGGAAACCACACCCTCATATCCCTGGAAACTGCATCCCAGGAGTGTCCCAGAGGCGGGCCCTGCTCCAGTGCCGCCAGTAGCACCAGGTGCAGACCCAGCTCTCAAGGTGACATTTCATCTGGCAAGAAACTCCTTGACAGGAGAGTGGGGAGCAAGACACGGGAAGCCGTTCTCCCGCTCGGCTCTGCGCTGATCAGGCCCCGCTGGAGTGCTGGGCCCCACATTTCAGAGCGAGGTGGAGAACTTGGAGAGGGTCCAGAGAAGGAGCTCCGAGGGCAGCCTGAAAGAACTGGGCTGGTTTCGTTTGGAAGGAGCAGACTGAGCGGGGCATGAGAGCGCTTTTCGAGTATCTCAAAGGGTGTCACGAGGAGGGGGAAATGGTGCTTGGCCTCTGAGGACAGGACAGGGAGCAAGGGGCTGAAGCTGCAGCGAGGGAGGTTGAGGTTGGACTTTCGGGAAAACGGCCAAGCACTGGGATACGTTGCCGAGGGAGGCTGCAGATACTGAAGGGCAGGCTGTCAGGGATGGGCTACACTGCCGGGAAGGCAGCGGACGGGACTCGATGCCTCTCGAATTCCCTTCCCGTTCTAGTGCGCTATGGCCCTATGACACGAACCACGGGGAATCCTGGGGCCGCACAGACAGCGTGGAAGGTGCCCCCGCCCTGCTCCTTGTGGTTGCAGATACAGACTCCCCCGGGCAGCCCTCGGACGTCTCGGAGGTTGTGAACTCCTCGGTCGGATTCTCTCACTGGGGTTCCCGTGTCCGATCTCTGCCTGTGTCCCCCAGAGGGCTCGAGTCTGACCGGCCCTCAAGCAAAGCGCGTGTCTCCCTAGAAGTGCGGCCCAGCTGACTAGCAGACACCCACAGCGAGGGGGCTTCCTACTGGTGGTGCACATTCCGGCGTGCATCAGTGCACATCACATTTATTCCACACATGCATGGGAACAATCTGCCCATGGCTGGGATCGATCGGAGGGCCCATTACCACAGAGCCGCAGAGAGAGGCTACGTCTGAGCCCTGGGAATGGCAGAGAATTGGATGCGGTACCAAGGGCCCTGCGCACCTCCGGCATCTCTTCCCCAGCCCGGCGCCCCTCCCGCACCTGGACCCCTCATGTCCGGCTGCACCCAGAGCCTTTCGCTGCTCCCCAAGGCCTAGTTTCTGGGCCCCCCCATCAGAGCCTTCCCTCCCCCTCCGCCCAACCCCCTGCCCCAGCGAGTGAGGGTGGGGGAGTGGAGCAGGGGCACAGGACACAGGAGGGTTAGGGTTAGGGTTAGGGTTAGGGTTAGGGTTAGGGGTAGGGGTAGGGGTAAGGGTTAGGGTTAGGGTTAGGGTTAGGGTTAGGGTTAGGGTTAGGGTTAGGGTTAGGGTTAGGGTTAGGGTTAG